TAAGTTAGGGCCATGTTATGTAGTGTGGGTGACGATTATTTTAATAAAGCAACCAGTTTTAATATCATTTAACAAGCGTTTTACCATGAGCGATATATAATATGTACTGTTTTATTTGCAAGGGGAAGTTGTTCTTCCCGAAGGACCTTCAGGCATTTATTTATAATTTCAAAACTCTACTTACGTCCTTGCGATTAATACGACTGATATCGCTGACGAGTCAACCTTTCCCTAATTAGCTGATGAACCCCAAACGGCCAGGGTCCATTCGGGTCCTGCAACATATAAAATGAAAAAATATGAATCGATTTGATTGGTTGATGTAAATCGAGTGATCGGTGATAGTTATCCAGCGTTTCATTGGGGGTGATGTTAACCGAAGAATCAACTTCGAATGACCTCATAAGATATCATCGCATAAAATTTGAAAAAAATACATAATACTTTATTAAGGATCGTCAATTTCATCCAATCGGATTCGTGTGACCGGGTGAATTTTATGGAGTCGCTGTATCAGTTGCCGGATTGATCCATGTTGGTTCTTCGGACTTAAAATAGGTTCTATTTACCTATAGTTTATGACTATCATATTAATGATGTAATGATCCACATTTCTTTGCTGCATATTCTGCCTGGTTGGATGATTTATGTCGATCAAATATGATATTCAGCCAATAAAATTATTCAAATTCATGATTTAATTTGTTTTGTGTTAAATATTTGGGTAATTATTTTTGGGTCTTAATAGTTTACGGGTCCATAGAGGTCTCTCTATAAATTGAAAAAATTTTTTGGGTCTATACCAAAATCCCGAAAGTCAAGATCCTGAAACTTAATTGTCGCGTCGCGTGATATCGGGACCTAACATTCAAACTCCGTCCATTATTAGTGTTAGTAATGATAAGCAGAGTTTGAATATCAAATCCCCGAGATCACTCGGTGTGACAACTTTAATTTCAGGATTTGACATAGACATAATAGACAAAAAATAATTACCATTTACTTATTAAAATTTCATTTTACTTTGTTACTTTATTGCATGAGTATATAAAGAACTTTTGAGCGCCAGCAAAGAAAAACCTCTAATGGCAATTAAGTATGTTGCTTATTATTTGCTAGACTCAGCTGTGATCAGAAACATATAACGGTCATAGCTAAGCCTAGCAAATAATAAATGATATGCTTAAATTGCTAGCTCAAGGTTTTCCCTTGCCGGCACTCATTTATTAATTTAAATATTTAGAATATTTACTATTTAATTTCTATTTGTGTCTTCAGTAGTATAAGTAATCCCTTTAATAAAATGTGCCATTAATCAATTGGTTATAAGAACTGCAATAGATCCTTGGTTTCATTTTAATGAATATTTACTATTTGATTTCATTTTATTCTTGTTAATTTAGGGAATAATAATTTACTTGTTAAATAATAAACTAATTAAGCGATAGGATAAATAATACGACAAGTTGAAATCCGTCGCGTAGATCACACGAATGTGAAATCCACCTTTACGTAATAGAATACATAGCTATAGGCGGGTTTCACACTAGCGTGATCTACGTAGTGGATTTTGCTAATTTACAGCGTGGGTTTCACCCGGCCCTAAAATAATAATTATGCAGTATGAAATAACTAATATTCTATTACATGATGATCTAAAATATGGAAAATGTACATATCACAATGAATATAGCGAAACGTTATATCAACTCGACAATTGGTATCCCGTTTTTAAAACAAAACACATTGTCACTGTGAACTATCACACATCAAGAAATAATTTCTAACAATACGACGCATAAGATCGACATACTATATTAAGTATATTAGTATAGAGTCCACATAACAAAAATAAGTTGGCATCCAATCGTCATTGAGTTTTAAAATTGTTTTTTATAGTCGCTGTGTCATAAAATAAATCATGCGAACTTGCTATGTCAACATAACATTTCCATTCAATTATGTTTTCATATTGGTGATCAAGTTTATTATACAATATTCAATATCTTTGTTTATGCACGTTGTAAGAATCTGGGCTGCGTCGAAGATAATGCCGTGTAGAGATAATGACAGCTCTATACTATTAAACAAAACTATACTATTCAACCCAAACATTATTACTATAATAACCAAACCCGAGTATTGGTAAGGCTACGATTAAGGCGTGGAACGACTTGGTCCGAGTAACCAGGGTTATAAAGGTTATAGAAGAGTGTCGGTTCCAGATAAGTATTCTTTTGTATTCGCTATTTGATAATATGAGCTTCCTTTTACTGACGTATTAGTACTTTATTCCGTTTGTTAGTAGTAATCCGATCAGGAACTCGATTCAAGGTATCACGTGATCACGTGATCACGATCCAGGTAATTACGTGGGTATTGATTTTAACTTAGAGCTAATCACGGAGTTGATCAGTGTAGTATTTAATATATAAGGGACCTGATTATTAATGATTACTCTTTCTTTTTCTTATTCGATATTAAGGTAGGGGATAAGAAAGTCACGGGAACAAGGGTTATTACGATGAATGATTTTTAATGACGTCTTATAGGAAGGGTCTCATGGGAAACTTAAAGACAAACACTTTTGCTCTTATTTCGAAGGTTTTACTTTTGGAACTCTACAAGTTATCCTTTATTGGAGCACAAAGGCAAGTTCTTTTATATCTTTTACATTCTTATTGCATACATTTTGTATACTTGAACTATAACTAACATATCTATTATATTTAACATATTTGCTATGTTTGTCAAATTAATTATATTTACAATGGATGTATATGTAACATGCAAGCTATGTTGACTATGTACACTATGTTCTAGCCAAAGTATTGATCATTTTTTCTACTACTGTTTTGAGAATTCCATTACTTATTAAATTTTTGTATTTATTTTTAGATAAAGTGATACTAAAAATAGAAATAGCAAATGATAGGAGTGATAAAAACTTATAATAATAAGTAAAATAAATAAAAAAATAAAAAAATAAACTAAGAATCATAGTTCTAAAGTCTTTCATATTTCTTTAATTTTAAACATAAGTACTATGAGTATTTTATTAAAGCAGCAAATAATAGTCTTCTTCTTTTAAATAACGAATTATAGTGATGGTAATATAGGAAATGGTAGAGTTGTTCTATGTCAAGATGTTTGAATAGATAATATGTTCTAAGAGACAAAGTATAATAATATCAGGTGATAATGTTTTGAAAATTAGTGATTTGACTTTTTGGTAGTGTATCTAGTAATGCTCCTAAGTAGAAGATATGAACCAAACTTTTAATCATATTTTTTGTTCTAATGGTCCTCAATATATAATGATAAGTAGTAAAGACTTTCATGATATTATTTTGGTCAATTAAAAAAGAACAGGGTATAGGATCTATGAATATTGAGTTAAGGATGATAAAATCAGCTCGAATTTATTTGATGATGATAAGATTAGTAATATTTTTTTTTGTTCTGCAGAGAATATTAGATTCTTTAGGTTTTACATTTGCCTTTTGGGTTTCTCTTTTATATATTCTGTTCAAAATATAATTTTATTAACTTTTTATTAATGGTTATTATTAATACCCTTCTATTTAATTCTTATAGTTTATAAGCACAATTTATAAGGATAGCATGCACAAAATAAGGTTCTTTCTATTTAGATACAAGTTTATAGTTTTGTGTTCCCAATATTCTGAAATTTTAAATAAGAACTTTGTCTTCTATTATGAAATTAGGAGTGACTTTGATCTGTCAATTATATCCCTTTTTTGTTTTCTTTAGGTTTCTAGAATTTGTATAGCATTCTCTTACAAGCTTCTAATAAATCAAGTTGATCTTATACATTTACTAAATAATAATCCTATTCAGCAGTTCTGAGTCTTCACCAAGATATATAGATAACTTGGCTTTTTATCCATATACTAAATAAAAAAGCATTTCTTGGATCAAGACTTGTTTTGCCATATAGTATGCAAACAGAATTGATGAAATTTGTAAATCTCAATCAGTTACATTTTCCACTAATCATAAAATCATATTGCATAGTGTTTTGTTAAAACATTTGACAAGCCTATTAGTTTGAAGGTAATAAGGGGTTGAATAATAATGTTTAACTGTTAAGGCCACAAGTAATTCATCAATCAAATGATTTCAAAAATGGGACCTACGATTGGATAATATGATATTTGGGCATCTATATCTATATACTATTTTCTCATATATAAATTTAGCCATCTTTTGGGCATTATCTTTTGAATTGCATATGCTTTAGGCCACTTGGCTATATAATTAGTTGCTACTATGATATAGTAATTTAATTTAGATATTATTAGTAATGGCCTGACTATATCTATACTGATTCTATTAAATGAGACTTTCACAGAAATTGGGTATAGCAGTTCTTTCGAACTCTTACTATCTTGCATTTGGCAGTTTGCACATGTCTGGACATATTTACATATATCTTTATACAATTGGGACCAATAGTAACAATCATATATTTTATTAAACATTATTTTAACTCCAAAATGTTTTTTGTTTGAGTGGTCATAAACCAAGACCAAGATTGGCTCTTCTTCACCTTCTTTTAATACTTTTAATAAGTTACCTTTTTGTCTTTTATCTACCTTATAGAGGTAGTTCCTTCTTATAATGAAGAATTTACTTTGAACTTATAATTTCCATCATTGGTCTTTGTCATAGTAGAGTAGGTATTGCCCTTCATAAATAAAATCCTTTAGTATAGTATAATGTTGTAGATTCATTTTTTATTTTTTTTTTAATTTGAGTTTGTCAGAATACCAACAACCTGGACCAAATTAATTTTATCATTAGATTTTGTATTTTTTTCCTTCTTTTTTAATTTTTTTTTTGTTTTGAGTTTTTACTAACTTAATTTAATATTTGTAATCTATATTCACTTTGTCATCCAGGAGTAACAGTCAATTTGAAGCTTCAGAGTTAATTGTAGAATTGTAAAATAATTCCTTTTTAATGTTGGTGTTCCATCAACATTCATTATGCCTCAGATGGAAATTATGAGTATAGCTTAGGTCCAATAGTTCTTCATTGTTCTTGGAGGTTAACCTTTCATCTTCCCAAAAAGATTCATCATCCTGGTATGTTTTATTGGTCTCTACAGACTCCTCCACATTATTATCAATTATGAATTTTATTTTCAGTAGTTTATACATTGAGCACCAAGTTGTTTCATTATCCTCTTCAAGTTCCCATTATTGGATTAAATTCATTCACTGTTGTTCATAAGAGTCATAGAGGTATTCTATTTCTTAATCAGTCCATTTTATCTGGTTATTAACCTCTTAGGTCTGGTTAATAAGATGATATTCTTTATTGTCTTCCAGGTTCTCAGTAATATCATCTTCAATTATAGTTCAAAATACTTCAAATTTCTTTTCTTCTAGTAGCTTTGAAAGGTACTTTAGGTTTGTATCTCTTTTAGATGCTTCATCAATATTTTCCATATCAATTACTTTTCAATGAGTATTGGAACTATTATTTTTATTAACTTTTATTCTAGATAATGCATCTGCATTATTATATACTTGATCAGCTCAATGGAATATAGTAAAGTTATAGGATTGAAGATGTAGAACCTATCGAGCTCTTTTTCTTTTCAATACACTAGTTTGAAACCATTTTAAGACTGAATGATCAGTGACAATAATGAATAGCTTATAACCCAAATAGTGATAAAAATATTCTACAGCCCATACTATTGAATAATATTCTAATTTAGTAGTAGTATAATTTCTTTCAATTTTGATCAAGCTCTTGCTTGTATATGCAACAGCATATTTTCTTTTAAGGTCATCTTTTTGTACTAATATCACACCAAGACCAACTCCCAACATGTCTGTATGGAGGTAGAATATTTTTTCAAAATCAGGATATCTTAGTACTAGTGCAATAATAAGATGTGTCTTTAGAATATTAAAAGCTTGTTATTGTTCTTCCTTCTATTCATATTTTATATCTTTTTGTAGAAACTTGTGCAATGGTTTTGCTACAGTAACAAAATTTTTTATAAATTGATGATAATATGAGGCAAGACTGATGAATTCTCTTAGTTGTCTTAGGTTGATTGGAGTAGTGAATTCTTGCATCTTAATCAGTTTATTTTTATTAGGCCAAATACCCTCTTTCTCAACTATTTGTCCTAAAAAATATATATTATTTTTAAACAGATCAAATTTTTTAGAATTTAATTTCACTTCAGATGTTTGAATTTTTGTGAAAATGTTCTTAAGATGTATCAGATGTTTTTGGTAAGTTTTGGAGTAGACTATTATGTCATCCAAATATACAATAATACTTTTTCCAAGATATTTGGCTAGAATGTGATTCATGGCCCTTTGGAAAGTCACTAATATATTACATAACCCCAAAGAGCATAACATTGAAAGTATATATACCCTGTTTAGTTATAAATACTATTTTTTCATAGTCTTCTGGTTTCATTCTTATTTACCAATACCTACTGGCTAGATCAAGAGAAGAAAACCATTTAGCCTTTCCAAATGCTTTTAATAGATTGTCAATGCATGATAAGAGAAACATATCCTTTTTTGTAATAGTGTTTAACTTCCTATAATTAATGCATATTATAAGTTTACTATTTTTTTTAGGAATAATAATAACTGGTGATGCCCAGAGCCTTTAATTTCACTTATTAACCTATTTTCTAGCATCTTTTTTATTTCTTTATTTAGGTAATCTTGTTCATCTGATGACATCTGATAAGCTGACTGCTTGATGGGTTTCATATTACCAATGTTGATTTCATGTTGTATCTCTGGATATTGATCCAATTTATCTAATCCTGAGGTGAATAAGTTGTTAAATTTTTCCAAGAAATGCAGTACTTCTATTTGTGTTTTCTTTCTAGAGTCTCTATCATGACTAATTCACTAATTATTCTGTCAAAGTTATTGTAGGCATTTCATTGGTTTCAGTAATGGAAATTTCTTCCATATTGGTTAAATATAGAGTAGGACTATACACATTCTTCCAGAGGTTAAGGAACATCTTCTTATCATTGGTTTGGGTCCCATCTATATAGTAGCTTTCAACCTCATCTAGATCATTTTTGCTATCATATATATTAAAAAAGTTATTACTATTATAGATCTCTTAGAATATTTCTAATTTGTTATCTCTTATTTGAATAATAGGGATTTCACTATTTTTCTCTAAATATATAAAGAGCAACTTTTGCTCATCAAAATGAATTCAAGTCTAACTTTTTGAAACTAGTCTATATCAAGCAGCATCATTTCATTAGAGGATTCAATTATTGAAAGCTGGTGGGACTAGTATACTTCTGACAGCTAATCTCACATTCTCTATTTTCTCTAAGGCCTGCTCTCTACTTCTATTGGTGATAACAACAATGGCATTTAATGGCTCCTCGATTTTTAATCTCAGTTTATCTATTAACTTCTTGGATAAAATACTCACAGCAGCACCTGAATCTAAAATCACTAAAATTGAGTTGTTTTTAATCTGAATATAATATTTAGTAGCAGTAGTTCTGAAGTTTGGTTTAGAATCTATCAAATTGGTTTTTGCTATTAGGATTATTGGGCAGTGTAATGGTTGAGTAAGATTTTTATATTGTTTTGATATTTGCAACATTTGGACATAGGTAGCATTTGAACATTGATTCAAAAGATCTTCTGCTATGTTATACTGAGGTGTCCTATTAACTACAGAAGGTCTTCTAATACATTTTGGTCATTGAGGTTGATCCAACTGGGGTTGAGCTGTTATTTGGGGTTGTTCTTGGAGTATTTCTTTCATAGGCACAAGTTCAGTTTGTTATGACTTCTAATTCTGCTTTAAATTGACCCTTTTTCTTAATTACTTTTCTTAGCTAGATTCAGTTTCTGGCCTTTTATGTCTTTTAATTACATAAAGTTAGTAGTTAGTTGTGAATACATATTTGTCCCATATTGGGTATAAATGTCACATAGATTAACATTTGAGTGAGCTGTATTTTTATGTTAAGTAAGAAGAGCTCTTCTGGGATTCTGATATTGTTTAGAGAGACAATTTTGAATGATATGACCTCTTTCACCACAATTATAATAGACAATTCTACCATTGTTAGGTTAACACCATTGGTTGGACATACTTTAAGATAAAGTAGAACATCTTTCAATTCTAGATGCAAGGGTAGTAGTCAACCTTTCACAATTAGTTGCCATTTGTTGCATTTGTTATCTCTGAATAATCTCAAATCTACCATTTTAGATAAGTAATTTAAGTACTATCACTTCTTAAAAAAAGATAAAAATAAAATAAAACTAATATAAATTATATCAGAATATGATTTAGAAATATCAGAATTGCTAAGGGTTAGATTTAAGTTATAATAAGTAGGTGATTAGAGAAGTTCTATCTCACAGTCATTACCAAAAATGTAAGAATCTGAGCTGCATCAAAAATAATATTAGGTAAAGATAATGGCAACTCTATACTATTAAACAAAACTATACTATTCAACCCAAACACTATTACTATAATAACAAAACCCAAGTATTGGTAAGGCTACAATTAAGGCATAGAATGACTTGTTCCAAGTAACCAAGGTTATAAAGGTTATAGGAGAGAGTTAGTTCTAGATAAGTATTCTTTTGTATTTATTATTTGATAATATGAGTATTCTTTTACTATGTATTAGTACTTTATTTTATTTGTTAGTAGTAATCTGATCATGAACTCGATTCACAGTATTATATAATCACAGGGTCATAATCTAGAGTAATTATGTAAATATAATTTTAACTTAGAGCTAATCACAAAGTTGATCAGTATAGTATTTAATATATAAGGACCTAATTATTAATGATTACTCTTTCTTTTTCTTATTCAATATGAAGATAGAGAATATGAAAGTCACAGAACAAGGGTTATTATAATGAATAATTTTTAATGATGTTTTATAGAAAGGGCCTTATAGAAAACTTAAAGACAAACACTTCTACTCTTATTTTAAAAATTTTATTTTTGGAATTCTACAAGTTATTCTTTATTGAAACACAAAGACAAGTTCTTTTATATCTTTTATATTTTTATTACATACATTTTGTATACTTGAACTATAACTAACATATCTATTATATTTAACATATTTGCTATGTTTGTCAAATTAACTATACTAACAATAGACACTATATATAATATGTATGCTATGTTTCAGCAAAGTATCGATCATCTTTTCTACTATTGTTTTGGAAGTTCCACTACTTATTAAATTTTTATATCTATTTTTAGGTAAATGATACTAAAAATGGAAATAGCAAATGACAGAAGTGATAAAAACATATGGTAATAAGTAAAATAAAAAATAAAAATAAAAATAAACTAAGGACTGTAGCTCTAAAGTCTTTCACAATGTGCTTATTTTTAAATTATTATATTAGGATTAGATGTATATTAAGATTCATATACATTATATTCAGAAACAATATACCAATACAAAAAATATATATCATTTAGTTCTACTATGCTTTGTCTTATACTAGTTATATGTTTTTTTATGTCTCTATTTAATTGATTCTATTTAATAAATTAACTACTATTTAAGTTATTAAAAAACCTAAATATGATACTAATACTAAAATTTTTTATTTGTCACTTAATCTACTTTAAAAACAATACTACAAAATACACAAATAGAATCTCTTTGCTGCCTCACATGACCAGCAATTTACTTAGAATTGTTTTTATCCTCCTCTTTTTCTCTTTTCTCTTTTTTTTTTTTTTTTTATATTCGACCTATTTGGCTGATTTACCACACTAATCAGTAGTCAGGCTACCATTCTACCTAATGAATCTACATACCCCTTGGGTAGGAGGAGTTTATAAAGATCTAGACATATGTTGAGCTTGCAGCTAAGAGAAGAAGTAACTCAAAAACTCTTAGAATTGTCTCTCTTATATACCTTTAATTATAACTTTATACTTATCCAAATATCATAATATCATTTCATTCTTCTAACTATTCACATACCTATAACTCCAATTATATCAGTGATCAGAATATGGATCTCATAACAAATGACTGCCACATGACTTCATTCATAACATTACAAAAATTACAATTTTAAACTTTCATAAAAGACAAAGACATACAAATTATAAAGTCTAAGATTTGAGGTTTGGGTGAACTTGAGTTAGGTTATAAAAATAGGCAGACCCTGGTCTATGGATACTAATAGTACAGTCTAGCTTAGTTTGGTTAATTTTAGTTTAGTCCCAGTCTGGTCTTTTTTGGTTCAACTACAATATAGCTCAAGAATATTTAATAAACTAATAGTCAAATTCTTTAGTTCAAACTTATAATAAAAGTTCAGTTTTAGATTGGTCTTTTATTATAAATCAATAAAACTTATAAAAGAACCAGTTTCAAACTAATCTTGGTTCAAACACATACAATAGTTATATGGCTGCTCATAATAGTAGTTTATGAAATTTGAATATGATATACTAACAAAAAATAGGAAAGGATACTATGCTAGAGCCAGCTTTGCTATTTATTATAAAAAACAAAATCAGAAATAAAATACAAGTAATAATAGGGAACAAAATCTTCAAAAAAAAATCTTTTATTGTATATATATAATGTAAATACTTAATCTCATATTTTAGTTATATATATTTAATATAATTTTAATAAATGGTATTATTCAATGTCTTCAAGTAATTGATACCTCAAGATTAAAAAAAATAAAAAAACTAATTTTGAGATCATAGCTGACCTTAGATTAATCTTAAAAATAAAGTTTACATAGTAAAGTTTATTTATTATTTAATGCAATATTAAAATAGTCTTAAAACCAGTTTTTGGTATATAGTTTTAAGTCTATTTCAGTTATAATTTAAACTAAGATCAAACTAAATTTAACCAGTTTATTTAATTATAAATCAGTTTATGATTGATCACAGTTGTTTAGTATTTGGATCTGAGATAGAATATCATTTCCACTAGATATCTGCTGATAAAGATCTATGCTCAAAATGGCCATCTAAATATCTGTAAATATTATGAATATTTGTTCTTAGCTATTTTATATTTAATTTATTATGTAATTCTTAAAAACTTGGTTGAGTCACCCATATTCAGAAAAAAATATTAACAAAATAAGTAGCTGCACAATATTGTTGCATGAAACCAGGAATAGGAGAAATCTTTACAGACACTATTTTAGTTATAGAAAACCATATTCTTCATTGCAATCTATTTCTAGTATAAGAAAATAACTCTTTATAAAAGAAGTTGATAGTATTTGCAATCTGAATATTGGTTTAAATTTCAATGACTGAGCCTAAAAACCTATTGTTATGGATTTTATGATCAAGTTTAGAGATGGAGGAAATGTGATGAATTGTCATTTGAAAAATAATTATACTGCATAATGTTCTTCAAAGATATAAAGACAATTTTTTGATTTGACACAAAGTCAAGATAATTGATGAGAAGTATTACAAGATAAGAGAAATTTCATCCTTTTTATAATAAATTAACACTAAGAGCCTGTACAAAACAATAACTCTTCTCATTATTTTCAACACTTTCTAACCATTTTTGTTCTAATCTTTACCTCTTTCATACAACCTTTTATTACTTTAACATTTTTTACAGCTTCTATAGAACTGATGAGAAATATTTCAGTTTTACTATCCTGAGACCAGAACTTATTATATTGTCTTCAATTACATCTCTCTTGACATTATCTCACACCTAACCCAAATAGAGTAGGTGAAGTCAATATCTATTTTTAGCATAAACAGGTTGGTTTAGGTCGATCTTTCTTTATTTGAAGAAGGTAGTAAAGTCCTGCATAAAGGCTTGTGTACTGTCATATGGCTTCCTTAGAGCTGGGTACACATGTTTCAGATGAATTGTCATGACACCTCCAATTAGGTAAGTATGTCACAATAATGTCCATTTTGCAGATTCTATAGGGTGTCAGTTTTAACTCTAACTAGAGATAGGAAAATCTAGGTTTTTTGGATCTACTGCACATCTGCACAGCCTGCATAACTTCAGTTTCTAGAGCTTTTTACTCATTAAATTTCATGTTTATATATATAAAACATCTATTTAATATATATAAAGTTAAGCTCTTATCATTTTTAATTAATGCTCCAATGTTAGTTTTAAATGTCAACTTTTGTTGGTTTGCTTTTTTTTATTTTTTCTCTGCATATCAGTGAATTGATAATTCTGATCAAATTTGCAGATCATTTGACCAGATCTAGAACAAAACAATTTTAAATATTGTCAAATGATCTGCATATCTGATCAGAATTATAAATGATGGATTCTATTAATCAGGTGATGCAGATCCATTTTCTTTTAATTGGTAATTTAAACCTAGATTATAAAGCTGATCAAAATTATGAAAATTACATTGTACAGCCTCAAAAATGCCTGTGCAGTGTTCCATCTCTACCTCTGATAATATTAATAAAGTTAATGTCTAACTGCTATATAGTTAATTAACTAGCATCTCTTAGTTCCAATAAATCTGACCCAAAATTCTAAGGCTTTGCAAAATCTACAAAACATATCTGTATTTAGAAATAATCAACAAGTTCTTTCGATTAAGTCTTTGATGATCAGTGATTATCATTTTATCAGCCCGATAAAAAATTTAATGAAAAAAATGAAAATTACCAAATATTTAGCATTGAGGCCTTTTAAATTTATATTAGGACACTAATTTTTGTGCCAAAAAAACTTATTTTTACTATCATTTGTTATAACATCTTCGATTTTACAGATGTATGTG